ATTCTGCCCTTTCCTTTAGAGGAAAAATATTATCAAAGAATATAGCATTCCTCGACTCAATCGTGGTACCAACAGATACCTCTGGATTTTCTTATTTATGAACCAGAAATCTATATGATGTACTATTGTACGCATATCCAATAAATACACAATCGACCGTCTTTGGCCCGATTCTCATTTGTTTAGGTTCAGGAACTGAAACTTTAGCCAAACACCCCCACACTTTCAGGTATTTATAAGATGGCTTACGATTTTTCCACATTTCGTAAGGAGTCTCATCTTTCCCTTTAGGTGGTATTTTGTTCAGGATATGATTTGCAGTTAAAACAACTTCCCCCCACATGTTCTGGGGTAGTCCCGAATTTATCAACATGACATTCATCATTTCTTTTAACGTACGGTTCTTGCTTTCAGCAACACCGTTTCACTGTGGAGAATAAGGGGCTGTTGTTTGATGAATTATGTCATATTCAGAACATATTTGTTCAAAAGGAGCTACATACTCCCCATTCCTATCACTTTGGATTATTTTAATCCTTTTGCCGAGTTGATTTTTAACTTCGGTATTATAGATCTTAAACGCTTCCACAGCCTCGTCTTTGCTTCTTAACAAATATAAGTAGCAAAACCTTGTGCAACATCGATAAAAGTAACAAAATACTTTTTACTCGTTCTTGTTTGCACACTTTTCATATCACATACATCAGTATGGATCAAGCCTAATGGTTCAGTATTACTTTCCACCGAGTGAAAAGGCAACTTAGCCATATTTGCTTCAACACAAATTTCACATTTCTTATGTGATTCAGTTTTAGAATTAAGAGTTAATTCTAAATTCATCAACCATTTAATTGCATTTAGATTTACATGTCCCAATCTAATATGCCATAAATTAGAGAACTCAACGGTATAAATAGAAATAGGCTTTTCATTCTCATTGGAAACGGTTACACGGCTCACGGCCATTACATTAAGTTTGAACAAACCCTTGTCGAGATATCCATGACTAAGGAATGTTCCAAACTTGCTAAGAACAAACTTCTTAGCATCAAATACTAGCTTAAATCCATATTCAACAAGAAAAGATCCGGAGACCAAATTCTTGCGGATGTCTGGGACATGCAGAACATCCTTAAGCTTTAACTCCTTTCCAGAAGTCAGCTTCAGCACCACAGTGCCCACTCCAGCCACATCAGCCGTGGAGGAGTTTGCCATGTGAAGTTTCCGACCCTTAGTAGGAGTGTATTCAGAAAATACATCTTTATCGGAAAACACATGACGAGTGGCACCAGTATCGATGTACCACTTTTTTGGGTTATCTACCATATTGGCTTCAAACACCACTGCCGACATATCAAAGTCAGTTAGTTCACCCGACATAGGGCCGTGTTCAGCAACAAGGGCATTTGGTTGCCCTTTCTTTTGCCCAGCCTTTTAATGCTTCCTGCAATCCTTAGCCATACGGTTTGGCTTTCCACAGTTGTAGCAAGTGTCGGTAAACTTCAAAACCTTGGCTGGTTGTTTCCCTTTGTCAAGGGACTTTCTCTTACTCGATTTTCCTTGCTCCAGCAAGTTAGCACGAGCCTCCATCATCGTGGTTTTACCCGATGAATTACGGTAGCCCTCCTCAATACGAAGACGAACAACCAAGTCTTCAAGACTCATTTCCTTCCTCTTATGTTTGAGGTAGTTCTTGAAGTCTTTCCAACCCGGCGGCAGCTTTTCAATCACAGCCACAACTTGGAATGACTCGCTCGTAGACATTCCCTCAGCATGGATATCGTGTAAGATAAGTTGAAACTCTTGCACTTGTAACACGAAGGTCTTCGAGTCGACCATCTTGAAGTCAAGAAACTTGTCGACGATGAATTTGTTCGCCCCGACATCCTCTGTCTTGTACTTCTTTTTCAAAGCAACCCAAAGCTCTTTGGCAGAACCAACAGAGTTGCACATATTGTACAACTCATTACTAAGTCCATTCAGGACATAGTTATGGAAAAGGTAATCACCTTGCCCTCAAGCTTCGTATGCAGCGCGTAGTTCAGCATTGGATTCATTTTCAGCAATGACCGGGGGTTCATCCTTCAGGGATTTCACCAAACCCAAAGTGGTCTTATAAAAATGCATCTTTTGTTGCCATCTCTTGAAGCCAAGCCCGTTGAATTTTTCGGGCTTTTAAGCAGTAGGGACACGGACAACACGTACATGATGATGATGAACATTGTTGTTAATCGTCTGCTGAGTGTTAGAACCATTTCCGGTGGAAGCCATCAGTTTAGTAGATTGGATATTCTTCTTGCTATTGTTAGAAAGCTGGTGTCAAAATTACACGGGAATCCTACAAACTGATATGTAATTTTCAGTACTTACAACTAATCGAAAAATAGAAAATTACAATTGAATTGCAAAATAAATTACAACTTAAAAATAGAAAGATTTTAGCCGATGCGAGTAAAACTCTTTCCGCAAGAAGAATATGCCCCGTGTGGCAGCTAACAGTTCAGGCGTAACTTCCCCAAAGATACAACTGCAAACGTCTCTAAATCTGTAGCACTCCAGATTTACGAGCTTCGGCGAAATGGAACGGAGTCGAGAATTGAGCACTTAAAAATAGGAATTAAAATATCTCTCTGATAATTTTTTCTCTATTATTTTCAATAATATTTTTCTCCCTCAAATATTACCAAACAGGTTTTCCAGCTGTCTCCACCTTAAGATGGGATCACGAATACTGGTATTCCTTATTTGGAATATAAATTCCTTTCCGTTGTGTATTTTCTCTTCTGATGAAGAGATATTTATACGGAGAGATTGGCACAAGTTGGTCAATTTGCCAACCTTCTACGCGTTTTCTCCTTCCCCACAATTGCATTTATTAATATTCCTTACATGTGGTTGGGTTTTTAATTGTAGTGGTGGGTCGGCCAGTTACAATTATGACACTAAATAATTTACACTCAACCATTTAGGGGGTGATTGTTTATGAATTGATCTAGAAATTAATTGGTTTTTTTTTAACTATAGTTACTTTTGAAAAAGTTGGTATGGTTAATTGTTAGTGGATATATTAAAATAATATTTAAAATAAAATAATTAAAGTTGATATGATGTAAAAGTAAGAAAAAAATGATTGGAAGTGGTGGTTAGTTAAAATTATGTGAGAAGATGAATAGTGAATTAAAGTTGATGTGATGTGTAAGAATGATTGGTTGAATGATTGGTTGATATTATTTAATTATATTGGTAATATTGGAGATAGTGAAGTTGGATTAAAGTTGAGTTAAATTTGAGTTTTGATTGAGTTTTTTTGGGGTGAATTGATAAACAATCACCCCCTTAATAACATTCTTCTGTTGCCATCTCTTGAAATCAATCCCGTTGAATTTTTCGGGCTTCCCAGCAGTAGGGACATGGACAGTCGGTACAGGATGAACAACAGGGTTGATCGCTGCTGAGTGTAGGAACCATCTCCGGTGGATGTCATCAGTTATGTAGGTCGAGATATTCTTCTTGCGATTGTTAGTGAATGGGTGTAAAATTACACGGAAATCCTACGAACTGATATGCATTTTTCAGTTCTTACAAACAATCTAAAATAGAATATTACAATTGAATTGAAAAATAAATTACAATTGAAAAATAAATTAAAACTTAAAAAACAAAACGGAAAGAATCAAAGCCGAGGCGAGTAAAACTCTTTCCTCAAGAAGAATACGCCCCGTGTGGCAGCTAAGGTTCAGGCCTAACTTCCCAAAGATACAACGGCAAACGTCTTTAAATCTGTAACACACCAGATTTACAATCTTTGGTGATCTAGAACGTAGTTGATAATTGAGCACTTAAAAATAGGAATAAAAATATCTATCTGATATTTTTTCTCTATTTTTATCACTAATATTTATATCCCTCCAATATTTTCTTAGACTGAATATTTTTCTCCCTCTTTCCTTTCTCCTTTCCTCTCTCTTCCTTTGTTTCTTTCTTCTTTTTCCGTATGTCTGCCGAGTTGAGTCCTCCCATATTTATAGATGGAGTGGAGCAAGGGCCAGACTTCTCAAACGTATATCAATAATGAAGTGGTTGGGAGGATGACTTGGAAGATGCTATTAATGAGGTGTTTTTGAGAGGATGAGTTGGAAGATGCCATTAATTGACACTCACATGTGCCGAGTGGTTGTGGAGGTTGGCACAATTAATGAACTAAAATAATTACAATCACTTTTACACGCAAACAATTAATAACAATTACATTAAAATGCAAAAAAAAAAAAAAATGTAGCGCAGGTGCTACAGTGATTATTCATCTCTCCCATCTAGCGCACATATCTGGCACTGCGTTGGAGACGTGTTCTGCTCTATTTTATCGTAGAAAGATACATCTAGCGCAGCGCTGCAGATGGTCTTAGGCAAAAATGTGACGCTCTAATGTCCCTAAACCCTAATTCCTGAATCATTAAATTTGAAATATCAATTCAGAATCAAGTATTAGCTAAGTTTAACATACCAATCGAGTTATCAAATTGTTTGATGTTAAAAAAGATTAAGTATAGGTAGTTTGGGCAAAAATCGTAACGCTGGAATGCCACCTACCGCCTAGGCAAACAATCGTCAATACTTTAAAAGAGGTTAGCGGGTTCCGTTTTAATTTGGTTGAGGAAAGAACAATTCTCACTCGTTCATAGTATTATTTAAGAAATCTATCAAATGAGATATCTCAAATTCTGCTTTTAAGCTCGATTGATGTGGCAAAGAAAGGCGTCTCCAATTATCCAACTATACAATTTTTGTTTGAACATTGATCTCTAACTATAACCTAAAGTAGCAAATACTTTTATGAATCTCACATAGTTTACATGTATAAATTTTAATATGTACATATACGTAAATGATACGGAGCTCAATTGCCTATTAACACATGATATCAAAAGGAAAATTTGTGCATGATAGAATGATACAGAAGTGAAGCTCAATTTGTGTAGCAGGCCGAATGCTCCAGATTGTGGTAAAAGATACCGGAGTAGTTATTGTAACCTTAACTATAAATTTGCCTAATTTTTTTCGGTTTTTCCACGTTAGTCAAATGAACATCAGTAGTTATTGTAACCTTAACTATAAATTTGCCTAATTTTTTTCGGTTTTTCTACGTTAATCAAATGAACATCGATCAAAACTACGAATCCAACGATATTTTCCAGACACTATTAAGAAAAAGAAGAAAAAAAAAAAAATATGAATGTACAATTAGCCTCCCAGCATTCCACAAGGTCTATTTTAACCCAGTCTTGACAAAATTAGCCGCCCCACGTGCCCTCCTTGACCTAGCTCTCGTCAACCGGCTGCCTTCTTCCACTGGTGGCTGAGCATTATCGATTGAGTCATCAATCTGAGTAAACACTTGTTGTTCCTCGTTGTTAGAACTCAAACTCTTGCTTCTCATCAGGACAGCTTGTGCTGGTGCCGTTTTCAGTTCATTCGAAACAGGTTCTTCTTTTTTCGAGCTGTCTGCAGACGAGGTTTCATCTGCTGTATCTTTGTCTTGTTCGGTTGAAGATGACGATGCACTAGAAGAAGGAGAAGAGCGTTGAATGTTCTCAACAGGTTGTTCAGAGGATCCGGGGGCTGTCACTGCTTCATCTTGTTGTGGCTAGAAAATGCCAAGATGAAGAAAAAAAAAAACCAATTACCCAGAAAAAATAATAGTAAACAAAATAAAAGTATTAAACCTCGTAAAATAAAATCAAATAAAAATGTAAAGGAGAGTATTCATGATGCTAGAAGATGACTGAATTTTGATTCTTTTCCTTATAATATAAGAATCAGGTAATTAGCACTTTTCCAGAATTTCAAATCTAGGATTGATCCAAGGGCAACAAAGATGATATACCATGTACGTATAATATAGTCATGCTCATTAGTATCAGAAAATACAAAGCTGAAAAGCCAACAGTTTTAGCGTAATATATCAGTGTACTTGAAATGACATAGCAAGCTTTAAGGTCATAAACTTGGGGTCCTAATTCACTTCACAAAGTCTTGGGTCACCAAGAATGTCATCAAGTGAATTAATAGTGGGATGTCCAAAAATAAAGGCAGCACGTTAGGTTCGTCGGAATGGTTCTCGAGTAATACCTTGAATGTTTAAGTCAGTTCGGGTCAATCGATTTATCATAAGTGTTATAAGAGTACTCTAGAATTAATGCAAATATTATTGGTTATCTCATTACGAATTGTGAGTATTTATAATAGTGGGATCTACTATCATTGTTCAAGAGGGTCACTCATGATTCGTTGTTTGGATCATGGCTAAATGACCCTGAATATAAGGGTTGGTGTAAAAAAATCAGTCCTATCTGTATACGGCAGAACAGTGGAAATATAATTATTGTGCATCATTCACTCCTCCGACTTCTTTTACTTTTACAAGTATATGAGTAAAGATGTTTAAAATGAGTCGTTGGATAATGAAAGTTTAAACATTTCATATATCTTAACCTGTTAGTTGTTAGTTGTAGGGTTTTACCTTTTGACATTGACACTCACTTTACAACTTCCCCCAACTTCTATGATGACAATTATACATAATATTATTAATACTTTTATGACATACTCGTCACTGCCCAGGCATTCTAGGTGCTAGAATCAACCAACCGCCTAGAGAGCACTTCAAGTAATAGAATCAGTCTTACCATTTTCCTTTTTACAACGCCAAAAGGAAAAAATTAAAGAAAGAGAGNTGGTGTAAAATGGGAAAAAAAAAAAAAAAAGTGATGAAAAGTTAGAAAGTGAAGGTGAATGTGAAAATGCAAAAGCCTACATATGTGAACATTTTCTTCATCCGGCTGTTCATTTGTAACTTGTTTGCTTATAAATGATATTCAACAACTGTATTTTTATTACAATGTCCTTAAAACAACAAAGATTGACCTCTTTACTCCATGATGTGCATCCCTATATTCAAGTCATTTAGTCATAACATGAACCATGATGTGGCACGCTAGAACAGTTACCGTTAATCCTTGAGAAAAACCTACGAACTTATTATACCTATGTGGCTCTACAGATGTCATATCTAGACTAGTAAAAATATTGAGTTACAATTCCTAATAAGATAAGTTTTGTACGGAAATTTCCAGTACTCTTATGGTAATCTTCACTTTGACTAACTTAAGCATGCAAAGTCTTAGCCGGGGACCATCACGACGAGCCTAACGTGCTTATTTTTTATTACAAGTCATCCCAGTATTAACACAAGCAAAGTGACCCAAGATATCTAGAGGTGACACAAAAGTCCAAGTAGGTGACCCAAGATCATGTGCAGCGAATCAAGACCCGAGTTACTGACCAAACAGCTAGTGATGTCGTCACAAGTATATTGATATATTTGGTTAAATCCATAGCATAATCTCAAACAAAGCAACTTCACCTCACTAACTCAGTCTAATGCAAATGGCAACATTTATATAAGAAGAAATATACTGCACAGTCTGGGGGTCGAGAATACCTGATCAGGCTGTTTGGGGGTGGGGGTTGATTGTGAAGCAATGTACTGCAAAACGTAAAATATCCGATTCTGGGCATAGCTGGAAGCCTTTTGCCAGTACAAGAGTGTCAAGTCTCCAGCTCTTGCCCTCAGTTCCAACAAGCTACGATCAATGTCTGTCTCATGCTTAGCAACATAGGGTCTAACGAAGGAGTCATAAACATATGTTGTTCCCTGATACAATTTTTTCATTTGAAAAAAAAAATAGAAAAAAATCTTTAGAATGAGAAAACAAAGAACCAGTTAAGTAGTTGACTCAATTAAGATTTGTAACGGATATTGCAAACCTTGGTTTTAGGGAACCACAAGTACACAAAGAAGGCCAACTTAGCTTCACCATACATTGGAATCCTTCAGGATATACAAAGAAGGATCTTTAACAAAACATACCGGAACCAAAAAAAAAAAAAAATCTGCCTTCGCTTTTTAAGGCATAGAAGAAGTTACCAGCCAATAAACACGTCACCAAACCTTTCACAAACCGTCAACCCAGCAACTAAAATCCTGAAAGATAAAGGTGACTTTAAAGCCAGAATCCTGCAGCCAAAGCACTTGAAGTGTAATTCAAGCTTATATATTATACCAATATTGGCACCAAAACCGGAGCTGCTCGATATCAGGCTTATTCAGTTCCACAGATTTATAGCATTCGTACGCAGGATACAAATAACCAAAGGCCAGCCTGGGATAAGAGAAGAAGATAAGAAGATGGTGCAAAGCTAGCACAAGGAATTACAATATCAAGGACAAGAAGCAGGTTTGGACATACAAGAGTCCCCTAGTAATAAAAGATCCAATCATCTTGACACCCTGTCACATATATAAAACATTTGTGAAGTCAAGTCAGCAGCCAATAGAGCCGAAGAAGGACAGAAAGCAACAGAGTTCAGCTGCATAATGTTTGGATTTATACACAAGTGCCTAATTTAAACAAACATTTTGATCCATTTTTCACTTTCAAACACCGGTTATATTCCCAAATTTAATGTGAAACTAGGTTGTTCAGGTTTTGTCTCAGTGTTAAGGTCGATTCATAAGCTCTCCATGCATAGAATAATTTTCTCCTGCCCTGATCCCTCACTTTTGCCACTCATCTACCCAAAACTGAGAAAACTAATTGAATTCCAATAGTTATTACAGTGTTAACAATTTCGCTTCCAACAAGTGCCATACCACCCGTGGTTGTCGCAATCAATTCTCACACAAAGAGATTACATCACTCTTTCTCATTCGCTAAATTTCACTCTACATTTGTATTCAATCAAAACAAACGAACTGAAAACCAAAAACTACAAAGAACCAAAGACATAAGCAAACATTTATCTGTAAATTCAAGATAGCATCGCATAATGCTGAGAAATAGCAACATAATATTCTGCACTAATTTAAACCCTCATATTCTCAAATCAAAATATTCCAACGACTTTACATGATAATGTTGTCAGTCTTCCATAAAAACTCGGTTCTGAAAGAACAGAAAAAGAAAAATGTTCGAGCAAATTGAACACATTCCGTAACAGAACAAATTGCAAAGATAAGAATGCAAATAAAATGTCAAATGCATGTATAAATGTACATATATAATCGCAAATGAGAGCTCGTAAGAAAATGTCATCAAGAGGTATAGTTTTGGTTCTGGAAATGACCGTTAGTTGGGGGGCGCCTGAGATTTATCACACAAATGAATGATCGCAATTGAGAGCAAATGTTCTTTCAATTGTACGCACAATCGGCGCCGCCGGGACGACGGCGGAGAGAAAAGGAAGAGAGGAAACCAAGCGGCCAAATTTTCGCAGCGCGGTTTAATTGTTTGTGGAAATGTTCTCCGTTTTCCAGGCTTGCGATTTATTCGAGTTTCTCAAATACGGCATATGGGCCTTAATCCTGTGCGGGCAGGAACACAAATGTAATGCTCGATTTACCACTTTGCCCCTCGTGATTGTAAAAATAAATTTTGCCTTTACTGTGAATATAATTTACTCTTATGTTTTATGAATGATATAGTTATATTTACATTATTTATATTGCACTATATTTTTATTGTGATACATGACAAAAAAAAAAAAAAAAAAAAAAGAAAAAAAAACCGTCAATAAACTTATACATACACTAATTAGAATCATAAAAACTTATTTGATGTCAATTTTTTATTTGTGTTGTTGTGGTATTATTTTTTGATATTTATTAAATGCATTAATGATTTTTGTTTTCTAAAATAATTATACCCGAAACATGGATCAAATTATATATTATATCCCACTTTATAGCCAATTATAGGTCCCCTCTTCTTTTAAATAATAATACCAATAATAATCAAATTGCGAGTGTAACGTAGTGCAAGCATGCATCAACATTTTCAGACAACATATAACTATACTATACACAGTTGTGTACTTGGGATTCATTTGTAAATTCATTTGTTTCAACGTTTAGGTTTATTTTCAGCAACCCAATATTTTAGTGTTTGCGTGATTTATAATTTTACGTATAATGACAAAAGGCTCTATTTATTTTGTGAAGGATACATTTTTATTAGAAATTGATTTTAGGTCTCACATTTAGTAGGAAAAAAGTGTAATCAAAGTTTAGAAAAGCTTTTCCAATGACTACGTTTAAACTGTTATATGAATATATTAAAAATAGTAAAAAAATAGTGAAGGAGTAAAAGTCGCTAGCTAGTCTCTGGAAAAAAGATAAAGAAGCTAAAATTAGAGTTGCAGGTAAAGGATCAATTCCATGCAACAAACAAAAGATAAACAACTAAATAAAATAGGTACCAAAAGTTCTCTTTGAATGTTATCTAAACTAACTTCTATGATAAGAAGCTTATGAGATGCCTTGATTTATTTATTTTAGTTTGATATATATATCTTTGGTCTCTTTAACATCTATTTTTTCTTTTATAATTTCAAATTTCGGGATCTTCCTTATCTATTAAAACAAGAGTATCCATCCTATTTAATTTATTACATCATCAAATGGTAGTAGGTCGTGAAAGAGCAAGTAGGTCGTTACGTATATAATTTTTATTAGATGTTTAACTCGATGTCAAGTTTGTAATCACAAGAATCGAGCTATAAACTGTCGAGTCAACCTCACCATATAATGGCTGGAGCTGCAAAAACATCAATCTAGTAACTGTATTATTACTATTAGTGATCCCTATTTTTCTTTTTCTCCTTCAAACATCCATACAAATTTGACTTGTTTAATCATCACCATCATCATAGGTTGCTATTAATGTTAGGAGGCCAAAAAAGTTGAAAAAAGATGTTATTATAAAATAAAAAAATAATGAAAATCACACGAATGAGTCAAGAATAAAATTGAGTTATAGCGGTTCCCAATTTCCTCAAACTATCCAAAGCCTTGGATCACACGTTTGTTTTGAAGTTTGTTAAAATTAGGACAGGTCTTGCGTGAGCAGCGTGACATTATATTTAGCTTTTGGTCATGCTTTGCAATGATACTAAGGAAGGTTGTTGGCTTGTCAGCTATCATGCTTATCACTTATCAGTCCATAGTACCACACAACCAAAAATGGATATGCCTCATTATTGTTTGGCCCAATATGTATATCCGTGACTACAAATTGATACTAAAAATCAATTGAGATTTGA